TAGATATAAATGTTGATAAAGTGTGTGATTAGAAAAGTGACTCTGTTCAAAAATATTAGAGCTTCAATCCTTAATTTAACTATCCAAATTAATTTTTAAACCCAGATAGTTTAAATATCTAAATCAAAAATTTCTACTTAGATTGGCCAAAAAACTTGAATAATAAACTTAAAAACATGCTATAAAGCCAGCTTTATCTGTAATTTGATATAGATTCAACTTGGATTGCTTATCAAAAATAGAATCGAAGCTCTAAAAATATAAATCTTATTAAAACTTACAAATACCCTTTAAATTTTAACTCTAAAGCCTAACCTATTTTTTTTTTTTTATGAAGGTGAGGTTTTGCCTTTATCTTTATTAATAATTTGTATTGAGAATCCACAAGAGGTTTCTCTAGCCAAAGCAATATTTTACAAATTTTTTACAAGAATAAGACTCAGACTATTTTATCTGTAATCTAAACCTACTAGAGTGGTTAAAACTCATCTAGATTTGATAATTTATTATATTATTAATTGGTATAAAGTCTAACCTAATTATAAAAAAAAAATTCAAATTTTCATATTAAAATAAGCTCAAATTTTAGCATCATCTGATTTTAGAATCATTCTTTACATTAATTATTTATTATACTAATTGTTTTATTTATAAATATAGGAAACTTTACATTATGAGAAGCTATTAACTTTATTTCGAACATATGGGATGATGTTAATAATATTACTATAAAAAATTGCTAGAAGGCCACCAAAATTATATCAGAAGCAAGTAAATCAAATGAATATAAGAAAGAAGAAAATAGTCAAGAAGAAAGTAGGCCAGAAAATAAACTTAAAGATGTAATCTTTAAGGTTGACGATATTAATATATTAGTTAAAGACCTTTTAATTAAGAATAATTTAGGAGTGCAAAAGTTAATAAGTAATATTGAAAAATATGAACCATTTGATAGATCAACCAGTCATAATCAAGGATACACTAATGAATAAAGGAATCATTAAAATGGTAAATTACAATTTTTGTAATAATAATTATAAAACTAATGACAACAATAATAATGAACTACAACCTTCTTCTCTAATTACTATTACTGAGACCACAGAAGCATTAGAAAAAGTTATAAAATTTTAAAAAGCCTCAAAGTTAAAAAAAAGTTTGATGAAAAAGAATTAAAGATGCTGTGAAAAAAATTTAAAGATAAACAGTATGTAGATCATTTTCATATGATCACTACATAATTTTAAAATTTTACTATAAAATTGAATATTGTCACTAATAAAACTTTTTCAAATTACAATTAATTTTTATTAAATTTTTATAATATATAGATAAAATTATTTATCTATTATAGTAAAATTTTAAACTGTTGTATTTTATTAAAAAAGAATTTTGCTAACTTACCCCAGGTGATATCACCTGATCACGTGAAAGTGATTAACCAATTATATTTATTTGTAAATTTATAAATAAAAATATAACAAATTAATTTAAATAATAAAGATAACCAATAATAACAATACTGCATTTTATTATATGTATATAGTGATAAACAACCAGAATTCTCGTTAAGTATATTTTATTAGAATATCAAGTATTGTACCAGGTAAGTATGTATTACATGCATTTATATGATGTACATACGTACGTACGTACACATACATTTTATTAATTAATACACTAATTCGGACATGTTGGAGCATAATGACCTGCTTGCTTGCATTTATGGCAGTGTCGAACACGTTTTGAATTACTAAAATTTGGGTTCAATTCATCACCATTGTTATATAAGATTTGATCAACTATATTATCTTGATAAACCTGTGCTTTTTTCTTTAATAGTACTTCACCGCCTGATTTATAACGGTTGGGTTGATGCCCTTTATGCTATACACGTATTGGATCTTTGACAACTAAATTTTTAACATTACTATCGTTTTCTTGCTGCTTATCTAAATTACCTTTCATCGTTTTGATAAATCGCTCTAAATAATTAACAAATTCATCAACTTTATCTGCCCAAATTGCATAGTTCAGCGTCTTCTTGGCATGACCTATCCCAAAACCATATTTTTGATTAGAGTTTCAGTTTTGCTCAACACAAGCCGTTTTTCTAATATTTGCAAGACATTTAAATTGTAATGGTTGAGAAGGAAGCTGATCCAATTTGTTTTCGACAATTTGATATGTTGGAGTTAAGCGATGAATTTGTTGATCGACACTAGCTTTTCTGTCATTATGCCATCATTGTGAATGAGAGTAATATGAAAACATGCGTTTTGAGAGTATGACATGATTTTAAAAAAGTGTCTACAGACAATGCCCCGATTAATTAACCAAAGACAAGTGCACAAGTGAGAACCATCATCGAGCAAAATGACATACTGAGACATTGTCTGTAGAGATCGATGCCTAGTTACTTTCCATACTTCTAGAACATTATGATTCGATGCATAGGTGACTAGTGAAGAAAATAATGCCTGCGGCTGATCATAGTTGTCTTCTCTACCTGTTTCTGACTCACAAGAATCGTCTGTAGCTTTAAAAAAAAAAAAAAAAAAAAAAAAAAAAATCAATCAATATATAGTACTTACTTGACTTAATGACAGATATGCTAATAAGTAAGTGTATTCTCACCTCTAATAACGAAGACCAATTATCGACTAAAAAAGCATCATAGCAAAGTGATTGTGACATCTGGTCACATTGTTTTTGGAATATCTGTGGAGTAAGATAATCCCGCAACAGCTTATTTAAGTCAGGAAAATATTCCTCCATTATATTAGGTATTCCACTTGTTGGTATTTCATTTCTATATTCACTAACTATCGCTCTTTGTGCTTGCCTGTCAAACGTAGCTTGGATCTCATCCACGACATCGGCTAACCATAAACTTCAACTAAGCTTTTTCTTGATTACTTTATTTGAATTTTTAGCTCTTTGTGTACTTTGTATCCCTGCAGTAAAAAATCTATTTACTGCATAACTAGCCCAACTATCTTTACAAGGATACAAAGCATGTATAAAATATCGCTCAATGTGGGGTACTCCTCAATAATTTTTTCCCAACTAAGTTCAAATTGTTTTTGGCAAAGAGAATTATGCATTGCGAAGAATTTGGACCGAAACAATTCGAACTGATCACCTAACTTCCCTTTTAGTTTTTTCCTTAAATTTAAACCGATATGAAATATGCAATGGAAGAGTTTGGTTTCTGGGTAATTATTTCGTACAGCTGATATTAATGCTGGATTAGCATCTGAATATATAACGGTAGGAGTAACTGAACAAGCTTCCTTTAGTTCATTTAAAACCCAAGAAAATGTAGCCTCAGTTTCATCTTCGAGAAGTGCCGCTGCCACTATTAAATTTCTAAAATTGTTGTCGACGACTGTAACTATCAACAATATCATATTGAACTGGTTGGTTTGGGATGTTGTATCAATAAGCACGACATCATAAAACTGTTTATAAGCACGTATTTAATCTGGTGACATCCAAAACAACCTTGTCAACCTTCTTTCATCAAGATCAAATTTTGGTTTCACTGCCCACAATGGATCATTCTCCTTCTTAAGATATAGATTAGTTAAGGTTTGACAAGCATCATTTTTTTGAAGTTTTGCTTTTTTTTTATAATGTTGTATCGCGTTGCTCAAATCTTTTTTATTGATTTTTTTATCAGGAAACGACGCAGTAAGTAGATCATATTGCATTGATATGTCTAACCTCCCATGAATTGTCCAGAACTCAATTTTTTCTAACATTTCATTGGTTAAATGACGAAATTTCAGCGCAATTATAGTAATAAGAGAATTCATGGAATGGCAATATTCACCTTCAATACTATTTACTCTAACTCCAAGTGTTGTTTTGGAAAATGACATATTAACATGCCAAGAGCAACCTATCATTCCTGAATCTCTATTCCTTTTATTTTTCGCTAATATAACCTTTTCATTTTGGTGCACATGTGCATAAGAGCATTCAAAAGTACGACGACGTATTATACTATTATCGGCTGGATCAGAAACGCAACGTCTTTTACGAAAGCAGAACCCTTCATGTTTGGCATAATCCTTAAGGTATGATTTAGCAATCTCCCATGTTTCAAATATCATACCCACTTTTAATTGTAACTCTTCATCATCAGAAGCTTCGTAATCAGTGTCTTTTTTTTCCTCATTGACTTCGAAATTGTTTGTCTCAATTAATTCATCTTCATACCGAAATAAGAGGCTTGTATCATCTTCAAGCAGAGGATAGTAATCAAAAGGAAAACTCATATTAACATTAAATTCTATTTAAATTATGAATGTGATGAAAAAAAAATACGAGATGAAATAAATCAGGTATAAGTATAGTGATAAGATGAAACGGATAAAAAAAGGATAATTAAAATAAAAGAACCAAACAAGCAAATTGAATAAAGAACCAACACAAAAAAAAAATATGATACAGGTCAAATAGAATAGAAAGTAAGTGGTGATGATGTAAGTAAAAACACAGACGAAGAAAGGTGGTCAAGGCAAATACTTAGTAGCCAAAGAAAGAGCAGAATCAAAATATAATCGCGAGGTGAACAGGCTGATGAATAAAAAAAAAAAAGTGCCAAATATAGTCGGAAGCAAAGTGGATATAGTATGACTAATAGCAAAGAAATAGTTCAACTAGATCAAAATAAAGTAAGTAGGTCGATGAATTATGCGTACGAAGTAGATGAAAAAGTGTGATCAAACGATGTCGTGGACAATCAGGTATGGTATAACAAATTGATGCAAGATTCAAGGAAATAGCGCAACGAAATAGACAGACCAAATGGGCAAAAAATAAGGTGTGATCAAAATAGGTCGATGATTTGTGTGTACAATTAGATGGAAATTGTGATTAAAACGAAGCCGTGAACAAGCAAATATCTAATAAAATGAAGTAATGCAAAATTCAAAGAAATGGCACAACGGGATAGACAGATCAAACAGGCAAGAAAAAAGTGCGATCAAAGCAAAATCACAAGAATCATAACAAAATATATATAGCTGTAGTTGTGATATGATTACATCATATCAATCAAAATACAGGTTAAAATTTATTAGTTTTAACCTCAGATTAAATTTTTTATAATAACTGGTGGTTAAATTTTATCATAATCACTAGGGGTTAAAATTAGTTATATTTATTAAAAAAATATACTTATATATGTAACAAATTTTTTCTGAATAGACCTAAAATTTTCTGAGTTGTACCAATTTACATAATGCTATAAGTTAAATTTAATATTAAAATTTTATATTTAATTTTAAAATATTCATATATTTTAACTAATTTTAATGAATTTACTATCATTAGAATCAGAAAAACATACTTTACAAAATTTTTTTATTTTTTTTATTTTTTTTTTAATGTTAAGGTGAACACTTGGGATCTGGCATGTTTATTAACTTCTGTTACAAATGCCAAGGCAGCTACAGGACTACCCCTGACTTTGTTATATTAACAAGAGTATATTCTAGCCATATCTATACTTTTGAACGTCTAATTAAGTAGTTTCCTATTACTAAGTACTACACTAGATGCTGTATCTATAACCTACTATTACTTGAGTTATCTAATTAAACCCTCTGATCAACTTAGCACTGTCAGATATTCTCCCCAAAGAGGAAATGCTGCTAAAGCCCCTTAGGACTAATTTATCCTTATAGTAAACCTACTAAAGCAGTCCATGTCCTATATATATATCATCTAGATTTTCAATAACTTATGCTTAGGCCAAAACCAAGTACTTGTGGTATCTCTCTGTTATCGTTATCTACTCCTTGCCCTTGCAAAGTTCACCTAGACCCCAGCACACACTTTACGGACTAACACCAACTTTCTTTCACCAACAGTATTCCAAACTTCCAATTCAGATAGCCTAGGGAGGGACTAGTGGGCATCCTCTTAGTATTCCGATTGAATCCTTTTTCCTTGTTTATATGGGGCCACTCTCTGTATACTTGCGGTCTGATTGGTATTAGTATCTTGCCAAACACCCAGTCCTCATTCAGTTTACTGCCAGTGTCCAATCACTAATAATTATCCTTTATATAGTACCGTCAAAGATCTGTGCTACCTCTACTCAGGACTTGCTAAGTAGAATTCTGTATGCCCTAGCCCTTGGATTTATACAAATATTTATCAAGGTTTTGTATAACTCTTGTATTATACTATTGTTCTATATTCTTCTAGTACAAGCTAGTATGACCAAGACTACAGATCTAATGATCCATCAGATTATACACAGTCTGCCGTAATACATTCTTTAAATTCGAATTTTGTCACTAGTAGAATTCGAACTCTTGTTCTGCCACTTGAGGGTGCAACAAGTTTACCACTTCACTAAATCGCTACACACCTACTCTACAAAATTTAAATAATAGTTAAAATTAGATAATTTAATAAAATTTTTTATAAAATTAAATATAAAAAAAAATTTGCTATTAAGTTTATATGTAATTTTAAAATAATACTGTCTACCTTTAAAATTTATTTATTTAATTGGTGATTTGCTAGTCAACTAGAGAAGATCTGCAAATTTTTATAAATAAATTTTACTATTGAGCCAAATGTGAAGTGCACTAATTTAAAACTTTTTTTCTTATTAAATAAATTGCTTTTGGGCTTCTAATGAAAGTTGTAGAGCTCATCAAGATGCATCTAATTGTCCAAAGTGTAATAACAGGCACTTAATTTCTGCGCATTAAGTGATACATAAGTTATATTTTTGATGTGTTTTAACTATCAAATGTTCTTCTTTGATGTATTAACATAATTATTATAATAACATATCAATAATGTAACTTCAAAATTTTTGTTTGTTATCTGAAGGCTTGGGAAAATATCGACCAGACTCAATGTACAGAGCAGGCTACAAGTTTTTTGGAAACCGTGAGAGCTAGGTATAAGTGAGTAAATATATAAAAGATACTAACCTGACAAGTTTGCTTCCAACATCTTTAGAATCCTGCAACTTGTCTACATGCTACAACAAATTTCTACAATACTACAATTTACCAATAATCACAACTAAAACTACAATCGCATCATTCCTTCAACATCTATAACAAAATACACCAACAGATCTCAAACCTAATTTGATATTTTTAATATATAACTTATACTATAAAACACATATATACCTACCTAATGAAACAACTCTACTTCAGAATCATACCCAATTAATCATAAAAACAATTAAAACACTCTTGCAAGTCCCACTTAAATCATATACTAATATATACTCTGTCACTCTAACTCACCTATTCAATGAACCAAGCATTAACAACAACCTATTTCTAGATAACAATTACGATCCTACCCAAGAAACTATCTGTTATTACCAAGACAACCAACTTACATCTACAGAAACTCAACAGAACTTCAACTCTTCCTTATGCCTAAACATTGTTACATATAATATACAAGGATTTAATATGCCAGAAAAAAGACTTCTATGGGAAAACTACTGCCAAACTCACAACTTGCATATAGTTAGCCTTACAGAAACAAAGATTTCTAGCAATACAAATACTAAATTCTTTAACACAAACAACTACTCCTACTATTGGTCTAACTTACGAGACACCAAAGAAGGCACATGTATTATGATCTAAAAACAACTTCAATCACATATTCATAACATTCTTAATTATCCAGGTGGTGCAATCACAATAGACTTATTCTTTAAAAATGATCATAAATTTAGAATTATCTCTGTTTACCTCTCATCAACCAATACAACCAATCACAAACTAACACAAAACAAAATAATAACATGGATACAACAAGCTATTACCCTTAATCTACACCTAATCATCCTTGGTGATTTTAATACAAACATAGACACAACTATATCATCAGCCATTAAATTTTAACTACTCAACTACCTACATAGTACTAATATGTATGATTTGGCCAATTACACAAACAACCTACAATACACATAGCAAAGCACCAGATACTAAACTAGAATTGACTATATGGGCTAGTAATACACTAATATCATACCTATATAAATTTGAAATAGACAATTCATCCTCCTCAACAAATAGTGACCACTAGATCCTAATATCAACCTAGTTATTCCTATTTGCACTCTTTAAACCAAACCAGAAATCTAAATGCAAAAGAAGAGTGTTTAACTACAAATCAATGTCCAAAGAAAACTGTAAATCTTTTGCAGACCAAGTCAACACAAACATGATAACACATCAAGTTCCTACTAACATTGACACAACAGAAAGCCTTGAAACAACATGGCACAAAATACATACTTGTATCATTAATGCTGCACTCCAACACATCCCAAATAAGAAAATAATAACCAAAAACTTTCATCATACATTTACTCCTAAGGCCACACAACTTCACAAAGACCTTAAAACAATTAGACATATAATACATCATGTTTAAAAACATTTCACACATAATATTCCACTACTAGACAATATACTTGAACTAATTAACAATATTAACATTGAACACAGCTTTATTATTCAAACCCCACCATGACATCAGCCCGATCTTAGCCTATAGGTACAAAACACCAAGGAATACTGGAAAACTTTATACAATGCAAGAAACCTCAAAAACGCACAACACCTAAGACAATACATCAATTTAGCTACTAACAACAGATGTGACCAACTACTTACCAATTTAACAAAAATGATTAATAGCATACTCAATCAACATAAAGACATTGTATACTTTAATAACATTAAAATCAATACAGATATTATCACTGAACTAGACAAAATCAAACAATATATACATAACTATTATGACGAATAGACAGCACACCATTCATATAACAACACAATCTTTGATCAAGACTGAAAACAGAATATCAACCCAAGCCAGAAATACTAACAGAATGGTATGACCCAATACTAAAAGAAATCAGTACAGATGAAGTCATACAAACAATTAGACAATTACCCAACAACAAAACATGTGGACCATTCGGAATTAGTTATAAAATGATAAAGCATATTAGATCTAATATGTTACATGCTATCATCACACTCCTTAACAAATGCATCAATACTCAAAATAATCCTAAACAATGAAAAGACAGTAGAATATACCCTATCTCTAAAAAACCTCAATTTGATAGCAATTTTAATAACATCAGACCAATTAGTTTAATTGAATATATTAAAAAACTCTATACCAAAATCCTTACTAATCAACTTACCAAAACCTTTACAACACATACAATACTTAACCTACACAACTATATTGCACT